AAAAGCTTTTGTGAAAACAACTAACCAAAATCATAATTAAAACACCTAACTAATAAAAGTTCTATAAAATGTAAATTATACCTTGCAGTATATAGATCAGCATACAACACCAAAGACGAACATCCAAAGACAAAATGACCCCACTACACTCGAAAAAGAATGGCCAACCACAATCAATATGCCGTCCACAATCACAACTCAAAGGATTTAGAGTACGACTTGACTTCGCAGAAAAGGACTTCATTGAACTAGACCAATGACCACCTCGATGTTCAACTATACGTACAGATCCGAGTAACCAGGCATCCCCTCCACGCACAATCTCCACGCCATTCCCAGACTAGGTAAACACAAAAGAAGTTCTCTACATGAAACAGAAAAACCTGTCATAGCAAACCATTCTAAAATCAGATTTGAGTTTGTTGAGAAAACCCAGTCGTTGTCATAAGAAGACACAACGATTGATCCTGGAACTTCTCTAACAGGAGAACCCAGAAGAAATATGATGTTCGCCAAATACCAACGTCCATCATCCATCCTTTGAATTGTAGAAAAACTATTCTAAAAAACTCTGTAAAACCCGGATGGGTGGAACCTGATCTAAACTACATTTTATGATTGGATAAATTAGATATTTTACCATTGTAAAGTATTTAATATTAACCAATCATGATCCATCTAACTAACAACCCACTTATTTGTAAGTGCTGAAATTACTTGTAATTTCAGCACCAGAGAGATTTGAATTTAACTTAGAACTTAGTTGCCTCTCCAAGAGAACTTCAGCAGCCGCAATAAACCAGTATACCCTAGATCTATTGAGCCTAGCAGAGACTAGCTAAACAACCTGAGACTAGATAGTATAAGAGTAAGATTAGGATCGGTATTAGACTAAGAAGTTGCACGAATCTATCCGGCCAAAAATAAGATAGCGTGACGAGCAGACGGTGTACCCTATCCGAAATTACTCTATGAGTTAAGACCATCGGTTATAACTCACAATGATGAAATATTTCTGATCGAGACGTTTTGGTTTCTCCTTACATATATCGACTCTACCACTAGACAACTTTATTTATTTCGTGCCAATATGGACTATTTTGATGACATAGGCTCAAAAAACAAAAGAACGTTTTTCATCATAAAAACAAACGAGAATTCATCATCATAAAACTAATCTTGAACGATTCATACCGCCCACCGAATTCGAAGCATGATACGTTTTTGCAATAGTCAGTACACCTTATGTTTGAACTTAAAACATTCACTAGCAAAAAAATGCTCACGATGAACTTTATCGTCGATGTCTCATCTGAAAATCCTAAAGTTTTGGAGTATGAAAACTTTTTGATGTCTTTTGGTTACAATGTTCGATGTTTGGAGTTCAAAAAAATTAATATTGCTTAAGTGCGAGTAATGATCAAGTAATTGACAATTTTCATGTACAGACAGTGTGTTGCTCAGGCATTGGCCAGTTTTGACATAAACTGTTATAGAAAAATCAATGCGAGGATTCAAATTATCTGGATTTCCACCATGATTTGCAGTTAAATTGCGACATTTGACGAAACTTTTTTTTTAGCTTAAAAAATCGATTGAAAAACTTGAAGCCTGATGCAAACCTTTAAATAATAAAATTAACCCAGATCGTGACTGAAAAATAATTAAAGTTTTCTCCGCAAAAGAAAACAAAAAAAACCTCATAATCATCTTTGGATTGATTGCAAAAAACTGATAGAAAGACAATCCAGCGACAAAATTGATTTCAAAACCCGTAGAAATAACGTAATTAGTGTTAAAAGAAAACACGCGGTTTTAGAACGATAGACTAGCAGATATTTTGTTAATTATCATAAAGAAACTATCAGTCTATAGTTTCTGATGAATTCTGTCTTTACTGCGGAGAAAAAAAAACGAAACAGTTTGCTACAATTAGAATAAAATTAAATGCAAATTTTGATGAATCAATTACAGGCCAGATTTTGATGCCATCAAAACAATTATGTTTCATGAAACTAAAAACGGAGTCCTTCAAGAAAATGAAAACAAGAGCAATAAAAAAAAATTTTTCATAATGGGGTAAGCAATACACTGCTTGAAACTTGTAACCTGATGCTCTCAGGGAAAACTTTTCCTGATTTTCCTAAAACTTCCAAACAAAATTTTAAAATTTTTTAAAATAACACTGATTAACACTGATAAAAATTTTTTGATAACACTGATTATCTTTTATCAAAATTATTGCATTCTGTGAGCAAACGTTTTGAAAATTTTATCTTTAGACGGTTTGAGAAAAAATCAGTTTGACTCTCAAAATCTTCAATTTTGAACGCATACATCTTAATTCTGTTCTTAACAGAATAAATTGGGAAATCAATTGACATCAAAACGTATGGCTACTTGTGTTTTAATCATCAAGAAAAAATTTGATATCATTGCTCAAAGCATCATACTTGAAAATTTGTTATTATAATGTTTTTGAGAGGAAGTTCCAAATTGTTTAAGTAGTTATCTCACGAAACGACAACAATTTGTCTCTTCAGTCTAATCTCTTGCTGATAAGCTAGAATGTACAAAAGTTGTTTCATAAAAAGATGTGCTGGCTCCTTGTTTTGTTTCGTTTTTAAAGATATGCCTTCGAACAGCTGCATACATGTAATTTCGTTTGCAAATGATACTATTTCAGTTGTTGCTCAGCAGTTTGTTACTAAAATGAAACTTCAAACAGAACTGCAAGGTATTAGTGACTGGTGTGTTGATAGCAAGCTGTTAATGACTTAATCAAATTGCAAATTGATAAACTTTGGCCGGTTTTGCGAAAGCGAATATCTTAATAGAACAATCTGATGGCTAAAATTCTGATTGCAGAAACCTAGGAATACAGGTCGACAACCGGTTCCAAATTGAAAAGCATATTGATTACATATGTAAAATAAACAAATTATTTTCAATTTGGATCCGGTTGTCGACTTGTTTTCCAAAGTTTCTGAAGTCAGAATTGATAGCCATCAGATTGTTCTCAAAAATTGTTCACGTTCGTGAAACCGGCCAATTTTTATCAATTTGCACTTTGATGGAGTCAATAGCAGCTTGGTATTCACAATGCAGTCATTAATATCTTGCATTCTGATTGAAATTTTACTAATGAAGCAAATTTCTGAGCAACAACTGAAATAGTATCACCTGCAAACAAAGTTACATGTATGACGATGGCTAAAGGCATATCTTTGATGTAAAAACGGAACAAAACAAAGAACCAGCGTTTCTCCTTATGAAACACTTTTTGTACATTCTAGCTTATCAGGAAAAAATTTGTCTAAATAGACTAAATGTTGTCGTTTTTTGAGATAATTAAATGTTGTCGTTATTTCTGAAGTTATTGAACCACAAGTAAAGATACGTTTTGTTGTCAATTGCTTCTTTTTTTATTCTGTTAAGGCAAAATTGTATGCGTTCAAAAATGATTGTTTCGATTTTTAAACTAATTTTTTGCATACCTTTTACAAATAAGTTTTTCAAAACGTTTTGTAAAGCATTAATTAATTTCAAAACATCAGATAATTTCATGCGATTGTAATTTAGGAATAGAATCTTGTTCTCACAACCTATAAAATTGTCTGGATTAAAAGCATACGGCTCTGCTACGAAAAGATTCAAAAGCGTTTATTTAAAACAATTCAGTTCGAACGTAATTTGATCGCGCTTCATATAGCTTGCATGCATATGACATAAAAAATTTTTTTGATAAACAGATCTGGCAAATTTTTGTATTAATTTTTAGAACAACTTAGAGAAAATAAAGCCACTTAAAACTTTTAGTTTGAGTTCACTGAAAACGAAATGTTTTACTCGAGTTTCTACGACCAAAACTTTGCCCATCTTATAAACAAGAACAAAAATAATGCAGCGGTCATGAAGAAACATTTTCTATAAAATTAATGTTTTTTTTTTGCTTTTAAACGATATGATAACCTATTTTTTTAATTGGGTAACTGAGCATCAACTATAGCATTATTTCAAAAATTTGTGTTTATTATATCTTAAGGTTAACACCAATGAAATAAGTTTCTTTTTGTTTTATTTGTGCGTTTCGAGTCCGATGTTATTTCGCAACTTCTGTCCTAAATTTTTCAGGGTCATGCCTTGATAAGCTGTACAGCTTTTTGCATGATCCTTCGTGAGTTCTTCTCCTAAAGTATATGTTTAACTCTCTTCTAATTAAATGATCTAATCAGAGGATTAAAAGTTGCCAATGTGCGATGGATAACATGTGATATTCATTCTTTTTGATATAATTTTGTTTTTGAATGATAAAAAATTCAATGAAAAATTAAAAAAATTTAATATTTGTGCCGACTGTTTCTGACATTAAGAAAATGATAAACTTTTCCTCGAACTTTACCAGAATAAAATGGTTCTTTTTGTTTTCGAAAAAACGTTGACGCAACGTTTCAACCAAATATGGGATAGATTTATGGTATAATTGGTCCAGCAATTACGCAAAAACTATCGAAATGTTTTCAAAACAAGTTATAAAGTTATTTTTTATCAGAGTATAGTGTCTGAATATCCGCTAAAAACCCTCAAAAATCTCGTTTTTCCGCTTGTTTTTGACAACTAAATATCCTAATAAAAAATCAAGATATTTAAACGGCTCTCAATTCTTTTGTTTGAGTATAGAATTTATTGTGATGTAGTTCGAAAAAACTTTTTGTCTAATATGAAGGCAATTAAAAAAAACAAGCTTAAACTTCTGACTTTCATCGATATGGCTGTATAATTTAATTACAACACAGTTCTTCTGTTTGCACATTTTCTCCCCCTCCCTCGCTGCGAACTCATAACTGCAAATATAAGTTCGCAACGAGGAAGGGGGGAGAACAAAACACCTAGAGGAGTACTGTGTTGTAATTATAGTATCGGGGTAAATCGAATAAAATGTGATATTTGAACGTGTTTTTTATGAACAAATTCTGTGTGATTTGTTGTTTTGTTCACAGAAGTGTCCCCTTCCTGTCTGTACTTCTTCAAGCGCAGCAACAAGTCCCTCTCCCCCGAGATGAAGACAGCAGTGGACGAGTGTATTCTAGAGTTGACCAAAGTGCAGCCGCAGAGTGTGTTGAGGAACATGCGACTCACAATTCAGCCAGATTTGAACTCGGACGAGAGGGCCATCATATCCTCGGGCAGCCAGACGAACAGACTGCTCGCATTCAGGTACTGCTACCATCATACATATTGTTCAGGAGTTCAAACTTTGGACTATTTGCAGAGATCCAAAACACTTAGCCGAAATACAGCAGTACAAAACTCGATTTTAAGATACGGCTTAAGACCATTTATGATCGAGGGAAAGAACCAAGATCCAAGCTAATCACTAGGAACTCTGTTATCTCTCTGGATGAGAATTACTCGCTATATTTTGGCTATTTTTGTGGGCTGGAGTAAGAGTTGTTGCCTCGCCTACTGGCAATGACTTAGTCTCAACAAGGTCAAATTGATGGGGGGGGGGGGTTAATTTAATCAAAAAATTTGTCAACCTTTTTTCAAGTCGACCAATTTGATTTTCCGAGCTCTCCAACATCAGTTTAAAAGTCTTATTTTAACCATTTGACTAAATTTTTTGCGCGGCTGGCGAATTTTTGAGAAAAAGAAAACAGGCCACAATAACGTTTTTAGGCACATTTTGGTATATTTTGACCAAAAAGTCGTGGTTTTTCAAACGCTAAAGGCACCTTCAGAAAAAATCTCAGTTAAACTTTTGATTTATCATAAATTATTATATAGTGTGTAAGCCTCAGTTTATGCAGAAGATTCTATCTCGCTGGGCACTGTATTGTACTCCAAAATCCAAAAATCCATCATCACAAACACAATATTCATTTCATTTGTTTCTAATGGTGATAGGCCAACAAGTCCAAAAAATAAGATTATCATTCCAACAAGCCGATACTCAATATTATTATGCAACTTAACAACAGATTGTCACAGTTGTTATGCAATTTTTTTGCAATTCTGATGTGTTTTGGCCTCAAGATATGATTGTTTGTCGCACACATGTCGTTTATATTTTCGACGTAAAAACGTGAAATAAAATGGTATCTTTTTCACAATGACGTCATTTCAGGGCCCTCAGCGAAACAAAAGAGGACAAAGAGGTTAATAAACTGGAGTTGGTGTGGTACCGAGAGGGACCAGAGACGAAAGAGGCCTCAGCAGTGACCAAAGTACTTCCATACATTCTCTTCACACTCTTCCTCCTCGGCATCTACGGGTTCGAATTTTATATAAATTTTACCAACTTGAAGGTTCACAAAAACTTACATAGATTTACAAACCGTTTTTGACGTCAACAATTTCATTTTCTGATCTTTTTTGATTAAATTGTCCATATCGCATAACTGATAAATTTGATGACTTTCGAGGTTCCTGCTTGAGTTCTTCATCCTCCACGACTTCAAAGTACGAGCACAGGCCGAGGGGGTGCTGACTGTTCGAGCTTACACAGCCGACTTGCACCACGACAGACTGAACGAGTTCTACAAACTACCAATGCAGAACTCCGATGGGGGAATAACCTACCCATACAAGGGTGACTGAACAATTAGAGACCAAATGAAATGATTTATGGTATTTATAAGAGAATGGTTATTTATATTATTGAAAGTAATAGAATTTAGGTCAACTTTGTTTTAGTTCTATAAGCAAATTTTTTTCAACATTGTGAGTCCAAACTGTGCACTGGATAGTGTACCGTTTGCTGTTTAGATCACTGGAATCCAGAGACAAGTCTTTAAACATGCTCCAAAGTGTGAGCGGATTTCACTACCAAAAGTTGTGTGGATTCCACGCACAAATACCTACTAATGAAAGCTTTATCAGCACATTAATTTTAATTGTCGTGAATTCTACAAGTAGAGATGACAGCAAGTTGTTCTAGATTCCGCAAATGTGAACAAAGTTCGAAATATGTGAAAACCTTTCTGGTTGCAAGAAATTAAGTGAAAAGTCTAGCCGCACATATCTGTGCAATCTTCTACCGGATTTTTTGGAATAGTCAGATCGATCGGTCGCATCAAAGTGTCAAACAGAGTTCGAATATTTAAAGTACAACTCTTCTTTTTACAGACTTACGAAGGACGGCAATTGGAAGGGGAAATTTTTCAAGCACAGAAAAACTCGACTAAAAAAACCGGTCAGTTAGCTAATGCCAAACAAAGGAAATTCCACCTCATTAATTCAAAATAGAAGATGAAAATCTACACGGTTTTGTGAGTGGGTCTGAAAATGTTTAACAAGACTGCCATCCATTAAATGTGTAATGAGCGTATCGACGAGACCATCCGGGTGTGAAAAATTTAAAGATCGATCACTGGGTAACAGATTTTTGAGTTCGCGTTTGAATCGTTTGCTTACAAGTACCGTAACGGCGAGAGGTTCCACTTTTGACCGAGTTTATGATTGAAGGTTTCTGGAGCCGTTTGAGAAAATACGTTGCTTATCAAGTATTTTAAAATGATGTAAAATTTAAATTTAGTTACAAAATTAAAGATCCAAGCATAGCCTTGATGATCAGGCTTAAAGAATAATTAAGTTGTTTTAAAACAGGGACAGGCCTTGACAAAATTTAAATCAAAAATTAAAGATTAAGGAAAGAATAAAAATTTTAAGAAAAAGTTTGTTACAAAATAAAGACCTAATTGATATTAGTTAATTGAGTGATTATGTGCTGAAGAAACAAAAAAGCACTATGGATGAGGGTATACGGATATGAGTCCTTGAGAAGCCAGGAATTTTTTTTATAATTTTGGTAAAACTAATATAACTTTTTATAGTAACTAATTTTGTTTATTTTTTTACAAAAAATTTTACAAAAAATTTTAAAATACTGCAGATTTGAAATAAATTGTTTTTGTAGTTGTTGATTAATCGTCTTGGTATAATATATTATTAATTATATATCACTGAGAGATATACATCTTGGAAATGAGTCTTACTGCTACAAGTAATTTGTTTCATTTTAGTGAATGAAAATGTACTGCATTGATAATCTTGTAGAGAAGTTGTCGTTGCTGTCTGCTTTTTCGATTCACGTCGTAGAAGCACGGTCCGCTATTCGGATTTTGACCTGGTGTTAACTTGAACACTCGTTGGTATTGATTAGATTTATTGAAACGTGGAGGTAAGTCTTCAATACTTGTGTCTATTTTGAATTTGCTACATCTAAAAATGTTGAGGTCTCTTTCGAGACTCTTGGTCACACCAGATGAGTTTCAGTCTGGAGTGGCTCTCTCAGAGTAATTTCAGATAAAGTACACCGTCTGTTCGTCACCATCTTGTTTTCGGCGGGATAGATTCGTGCAACTACCTAGTCTAAAACCGATCTTAATCTTAATCATTTATCTCCTAGTCTCAATAGATCTAGTGTATACTGGCATCTGCGAGATAAAAGATCAAGAATTGTTTACTAAGTTAAAATAATTCTGCTCTGGCTGAAACTATAAATAGTTTCAGCTGTACAAAATTTTGTAAGGGTTAGTTATGGATCTTGATTGGTTAGTAAGAAGTATTTTATAAAGATAGTTTTATCAATATTATAATTGGTTATAAACACAAGTTTTAAACTAATTCCACTTGTTTGCATTGGCAGCTTCTTTTGCATTGACAGAGTTTTAACTTCAATTACTTTTTAAAATGTTTTCTGCCAAACGAGAGATTTACTGGAACCTGGAACTTTTGCGTACTGCTTCTGTTGCCTACGAGATTTCGACAAGTTTCGAGATAAAATGAAATTTAGAAAATAAATTTTATTTGCAATAACCAAGTCGATGGTATTTTGCCCGTTTTGACCAGCTCAAAAATATTTGCCGTAAAATTGGCAAATTATCCTCGAAATTTTGATTTCCAATAAAGGAGGGCGAAACAGCATTGAGGTTTATCATGTTTTTCCTTACTTGAATAAAACGTCTTGATGCATTATTGAAGAAAATTCCTGATTCAGATAAAAGATTGTAAAAGTCAGTCTTAATTGTTGTTGCTGCTGTTTGATGTGTGTCTGATCAATGAATTACTCTGAAGTGAAATTTTTGCTAAAATTGCTATATAACGGCGAAGCTTAAAAATTTGCTAAGAAACTTGCAAAAACTTGCTGCATTTTTTTCTTCAGTTTTTAGAAAATGACAGTTAAGTTTTTGTGTATTTGAGCAGACAAAGGTTAATGTTTAGAATAAATGTCTTTTAAGTAATGAAGAGATGTTCGCCGGTGTTCAGAAACCCAAAAGGGAGAAAAAAATTGGTAAATCTCAACAAACCACAAACAGGTTTTCCTGTCGAGGACGTTTTCTTGACGAGGATGTAACTAATGACAGTTTTTGGTATTTTTGAACGCATTTTACTAAATTAAAAAAATGCAAATATTTTTTTGATACACGATGCAAAAAAATTTGTTTTTGTATTTAATGCATAACTAATTTTATAACTAACTAAACTTAGCAAAATTTTGTAACTAACTAAGTTTTTATTTATATGCTCTCGTTTTATTAATTAATTACATTTTTAAATGTGATTTTTTTCTGCAGAGCGTGATGTCATAACTGAATCTATAATAGAGATTGGGTTTAAAAAAAGTGACTCAATGCTCACTGGATTAGTATCCCTCAACTCGGGGAAAAACAGTGGGTTTTCAAGGGATTACATTTGCTTATATAGAAAAAGAACAGCCGTCGTCTGGTTGAACAACGAAGTTCAAACCTAGAAATTCAGACAGGTCCACACCGACCTGGCCAGCTAGTGCTCCCATCAACCGCATAGATCCTAATTGGTTTAGCGATGAAGTTTGGCTCCTTATAATTTCTGTAAAAGTATTTTCTCTTAACTTCAACCCTCTGCCATACCTGAACAAGGAAATCTATTTGGTCAAAAAGACATCACATGTTGTGTATTGAACTCAATTTCTTCTGAGTAAATAGACACAGCAGGAGGTAGTTCACATAATTAACCCTCAAACTGGATCTTTTCTCTATTTTTGAACTTTTCATATAATAAGAGCCCATAAATGCGTTTTTTAATTGTCGTTTTATTCACACTTTCTGCAGATTTTATGTTTTTTCAATGCTCGGTAAATCAGCCAACCATTTCTAAATAGATTCAATGCAATTTTTAAAGATTAAAGCTTCACGTCCAATTTTTATCATTTAGGTCATAACCGAAAAAACCCCTCAAAAACAGTTCTTTTGAAATTGGTTTTTGGCATAGATTGAATGCAGAAATTGACGTCACAATAAACAATGAATGCCCGTCAAAAACATCTTTTTTACAATTTGGCAATTGAATCATTTCTATTGTAACTTTCTAACTCAAATTTCTATGAACATTCTGCATTCCACTTGCAAGTTACAACAGATGAAAACGGGAAAACGGGCAAAAAAAACTAATCCATTGAAACGAATTTTTTAATTTAATGCTTTGATGTTCTGAAGATTATTGTTCAAATTTCCCTGAAAGTAAATAGTTAAAAAGCTTTAATTTTCGTTTGGGGATAAATAAGCATAAAAGTTCTATTAAAACTTTAAACCATTTTTCATTCAAATTTCTATTCACTTAAACTTCTATTAAATTTTCAAAAGTTTGAATTTTCTAATTTGCGCTCGTTCTAAAATGAACAAAAGGTCTTGCATCAGCAAAAATAGTTTTTGTTAACTGAGCAGATCAGTTAATTTATGCAAAAAAATTTCATTTGGAACAAGAAGCGGCTATTTCGAACTAACATCCCAAACAAAGTGCTTGAAATTACGCTCAATATTTGGATTACAGATAAGTAGACATCTCATAGTTTTTCCTTTCAATCTAGTTGGTATGGCTTCCCGGGTTACCTATCCATGGGAGACATCCCTGAAGTCAGGCCTGGCCAGGGGAAATTCCATGTTAAATTCTTGCACGGACTGCCCTGGACTGATATTCTCAAATAGGAAAACTCATAAGTTGATTGGTAGATTTTTGCAGAAAAGCTACATTTGTTAGTTTACCAGTGAATAGTAAAGTTTTAAACTTTCACAGATTCATGATGACAAAACATAACTTTTTCTACGTTGCTAGATAGATTATACCTAAAAAATGGTTGAAAAATCTTAAAATACTTTTCGCTAATATTTAAGTTTATTTGACCCTTTGAAAACAATAAAAAAAAACTAATTATGGCTCCACACAAAATATTCATATTGAATTTTTTTTGTGTGAAAAATTGAACCTGGGCTACGTTATGCGCCAAAAAAGTACACTCTTGCATGCAGTTTTTCTGAAAAATGTTTTTGTGAGCGTAAAAATGACTTTGCGGCGACTAAAAATGTAACAAAAATTTTTGTGCAAATTGCTGATTTCCTAGAATGGTCCAGGCCTGGTGTCCAGGCTAGGTTTTCATCAAGAGTTTTTATTAGACTTCCTGGGAGGTTTCTGAATGGCCCCCGGCAGTAAGTCCAAGATTGTCATGGACTCTTTAATTTCCTGGCAACAAGTCCAAAGTTTTTCCCTGGCTATGTAACCCGGGTTGTGTTTTGGTTGTTCTCCATTGCCAACAATTACTCTTTCGAAAAAAACTTTGAAACATTTAGAAAAGTGTTCCGAAATAAACAATTTAGCTAAAGATTTTGAGGTTGCATTAAATTCACCTCATTTCTCAGCATCGACCCTATTTA